GTCAATGTTTTGCCGGATTGACTGAGTTTCTGCTTCGTAATTTCTTCAAAAACTTGTTGAAATTATTCTACATCTGTTTCATACTCTAAATTTCGCAAATACTGTTTGTTTTAGAAAATATGAAGTGTGCAGTTCTTTTCGGGCTTGTATTAGTAGCTGGATGTTTCGCTTACGATAGGCATAGTGCGTGTGTCTGATTTTCTATTCTTTTTTTTTTTCATTCCTAGTGGAATTTAGAGACGATTTTTTGATATTTCTTTTTATAGACTTAATTTCTTCAGATGCATTTTTTGTCTGAGTAATTGAGTCTTTCAGTAGAGCAGTTTTATAATCAGTAGAAATTGCAGAGCAGTATTCTCCAAAATTCCGAGATGATGAAGGGATTGAAGTGGATAAGCAGTACGTGAACGCTCCTGGATCGGAAGAACGTGATGGAGGGATCGCAAGAGGGGAAGAAGTGGAGGAGGATGTGGCAGCACAGAGGAAGCACCACAGTCAAGAAGAGGAAAACAGGCTTATAAGGCAAGAAGCGAGGGAGAAAGAGAGGAAGAAGGGAGGGTTACAGGATGAAGAAAAGAAGACCGCGGAGGCGTCTGGACAGGCCGAGAAGAGGAAGAACCTAATGCGTCAGCAGCATGTACGTCACGGAATGGACAGCCAGGTGAAACAGCAGGAACAAATGAGACAGGAGGAACTCGAGCAAGCAGAGCAGGCTAAAAAAAGGGCGCGCCAGAAGGGAACAGCGCAAAAGACAGCTGGCAGGAAGTTTCAAAGGCAGGGATCAGTTGAGGCAGCTGGAAACGGCCAAGAACAGGTTATGCCGGAAGGAAACGAGGGTGCTCAGACTACGGAGAGTCAAGGGACGGGACGTGAGCAACTAGGTAAACAAGCGACGGAGGCACAAGGTGGACAAGAGACGACAGAAAATGTGAAAGAAGAGTCAGGAAGTGAAGCAGAAGATGACAAGAAGTGTGCGGCACTATCGCCGTGCCTTAAAGACAGCGATTGCGGGGATGGTAGGTCTCATTTCCTTTTTTCATTTTTCTATCGTCTAACTGTAAGGAGGTTTGATCGGGATGTCTTTAAGGAGTGTGCAACGGCGGTAAAACTTGCGAGTGTCTGGGTTGTCCGGCCCTTTGGGGATGTAAGGATGATAAAGACTGCGGTGGGTTCATGGGCGCCTGTGATCCGGAGAAAGGAACCTGTGATTGCGAACAAGGTTGGGTTTCGCTGATTTATGGTTTAAGTCTAAAGAACAGTTTATAGTTTCGCATGACGTTGACTTATTCATTTCAGCTGCTAAGAGTGCTGGTTTTGAAAGTTACTTTGCTTCGCTGTCGACGCTTTGTTCACAGAAATGCGAGTCTAGTGACGACTGCTTTGGCCTGAGGTGTCTTCCAGGGCTTTGCGCTTGCACTTAGGAAATCCTTAAAGCACTTTCTCTTGGTGTTGCTTCGTGATTTGAACTCAAGAGTTCTGTTCTGTATGAAGTAATTTGTGACTAGAATAAAAGGTTTATATTGCGCTCTCTGTTATGCTCCAGTAAACATCGATAAGCTTCCGCTGCATCGTCTGTTCTAGGTGCTTTGGCTGGGTACGGTAGGTCGATTACTGGTCTACTTTAAATATTGGGCTGCAGATTCCTCGCAAATTCAATAGCATTTATTGGCAGGGGTCCAAAAGCGGCATTCAAGTAGATCCAATTTCTTTCTACAAAACGTTATTAGTAAACTCGTTACTGGTTAAACAGCATTGTAGTAAGTTACTTTGTTCAGTTGGTATAGTGGCTTCACAGTGTTTCTTTCCTGTTTCATAGTATTAAGCTAGTTTTCTGAAGTAAACATTGTTTTGCAAGTTGGTAGTTTGTTTTTTCTTTCTAACTGACATTCTTTTGGGCAATTTAATCGGCTTTTTTGCTTGTTCCGGTCTTCTTGGCTGTAAAAAGTTTTTTTCCTAGGTCAGACAACTGTTCGATGGGTTCCATGTGTCGTGGGGTTTTGCAGTTTGGAAGACGCGCTTTAAGGGGTAGTAATTTAATAAGGATCGGAGCAGAGGTAGTTTTTTATCTCACTTTTTTGTTGAAATTCAAAAAGATGTTTCAAACGTAATTCTTCATAGCTTTCTTTTAATAAAGTTAACTCATTTACGAATTATCTTGGTAGCAGAAAATTGTCTTATTTTTTACTTTTTGCATTTCCTAAAGATTTTATTTTTCTTTTTTGCGAATTCAGTTTACTGCCCACTAAGAGCTTTGACATATGGCAGTTAAGTACTTGAAGTTACAATTTTCAGAAGCGACTGTTGCATCAGGAGAGAAACGTAAAGCCAAAAGTAGTGGTTAATGTGCCGGAAACTTTTGTGACTACTATCGATAATGGTTTTCGAATTGCAAGTGAAAACACGAAAATGGCTACAGCTACAGTGCGTTTTCATATTCCACTTCATGAAAAGATTTTTAATTTTGTTATTTAGAGGGTTTATTTAGATGCTACATATCAGCAGTAGGTTTTTAAGTTTCTAGAAATGTGAACAGTATTTGTCCACATATAAATATAGATTATCACATCGGGAATATATGATCTTGGATGGAAGGAAAGGTCGATTTCGTTCAAATGAACACTGTTTTCTGTTTTTTAAACAAAATATAGAAGTTTTTAGGTTGGTATTTGGATTGATGCTGGCAGTCGTTATGAAAATGATCGAAACAATGGAGTCGCTCATTTTCTTGAACATATGGCTTTTAAGGTTTACCGATGTATTCAGATTTTGCTGTTTTACTTTGGAATTGATTTAGAAGTTTATTCGCCTGTTTTTTGGCCTTTTTGAAAGACCCTGATTTGAGGGCACTTCGAAGCGAAGCCAGATGGAGTTGGAATTAGAGGTAGAAAATATGGGTGCTCATTTAAACGCATATACTTCCCGTGAACAGACAGTCTACTATGCGAAATGTTTTTCCAAGGATATTGAACACTGTAAGTGAGTGGAAAAAATTTATAATTTTTTGTAATAGGGGTTCATCAGTTTATTTCATACTTCACAACTTAATGAAAAATCTTGGAAACTTTGTTTTCTGAGCGAGCTCTTTATCGTATTCGTTACGACTTCTTCGTTTTAGAATTGTTTTGAATTTGGGTGTGTTACAGTTGTTGAAATGCTATCAGATATTTTACGGAATAGTTTACTACGAAAGGCAGAAATAGAAAGAGAAAGGGACGTCATTTTGCGAGAGATGGAAGAAGTGGAACGTAATTTACAGGAATTTGTTTTCGATCATCTTCATGCAGGCGTTTACAGAGGAACATCACTAGCTCGAACTATTCTTGGCCCCGTTGAGAATATACGGTGCTACTTATGCCTTCTTTGTCAGGATTTACTAGACTTTCTAACTGTGTGCTGTAACAAATTTATTTTTAATTCTTTGTTGTTGTACAGATCATTACAACGTGAAGACCTCATTGCGTATATAGAAGAACAGTATAGAGGCGAACGAATGGTTTTAGCGGGAGCAGGCGGTGTCGATCACGAGTATTTGGTTGAATTAGGAAAAAAGTATTTCGGTGATCTTAAAACAGTAAACAAAAATTTTGTTATGGAACCTGGACGTTTTTCTGAAAGCTTCGTAAGTTTTCTCTTTACTTCTATTATTAGACTGACATCCAGCATGCTTTTAGTATTCATTTGGTATCAGTCTTATAATATCAGATATATTATGCTTGCTTATAATAATTAGTATTAAAATTATATAGTAATTTTTTTACGCTCAGTTTTTACGTGATCGGACTTTAAAAATCTGCACTACTTTGAAGTCTACTGATTATAATACTTAATAGATTTTTGCAGAGTTGGATATCTAAAATTCTTCAAAGTTTGTTCTTTTTATTCATTTGAGATTAGATGTTTGCAATCTTGTTCTCACTTAGAGTTTATGTGGAAAAGTTCGCTTACTCTTTTGACCAAACTGCTTTGACTTTGCTTTAATTATGGGATGAATGATGTATTTAATTTTGCCAGCTGTCGAGTTTTTCGTCTTTTTATGGCTGTCACAGTATATGTGAGTAGCTTAGCTTTTATTTTCTAGAAGAGTACTGCTTTTTTTGCTGTGACTTGTAGTATTTACGTCCGCTTACTCTCCTATCGTCTCCTATTTCTGTAGTCACCTATAGTGTTTTCAACGTGCACTGTGATATTCCTGATGTTTTATTTATCTTCCATTTGGGTACTGGTTTATCTGTTTTTTTTAAGGTTATCTTTCGCTCTCTAAAATTTAGCTATTTTGGAAAGTGAGTAAAAAGTTTACCAAAAGGTATTTACTTTTTATTAATTTCGTTATCATTTTAAGCCACAAACAGCTTCTTTTTACTGTCATTTTATCAAGAGTACTCTTCATTTTTCTTATTGGTTTTTAAGGTTTAGAATTGAAGTTGGAATTTATTTTTGTCTAGCTAAATTTTGTTTCTCAGAGTTATAATTCAAATTGACATGGTTGTTTCACATGATAATAAATTTATTGTGATACTTTCGAACAGTTTTCGTTGTTCGAAAACACCCTGTTAAGTATTCTAGAGTTTCTTAGCGGACTGACTTTTTTGCATTAGTTTTTTTTAGTTGGCTAAAGTAAGTTGGAGTGTCATATATACATATATAGTGTACAAATAATTGGTATTGAAGCCCCTTTTTCACTACGATTGCTTTGAGCTGTCAGCTAGTTGTTTGTAAAGTGTGGATGGGGAAATAGCGTTGTATTTTATTTTTTTTT